TTAGAGCATAAAAAATCAGATAATATAACAGTCACAGTCTTCACCAATCAGATTGAATCGTCGGCATTATATAGAGAAAATGCAATAATTATTGGAAAGTTGCAGGCGTAAGGCCTCAGAAGTGTTATCTTATCGAACCGCAGAAAATGTCGAAACCCTCAAAATGACATAATTAATTGAATGAATGCAGTCATCGCTCATCACTTTCAGGAATCATTCGAACTGCGGTTCCACTCGATCGCGAAGTCGAAAATCGTTATTGGTTAACAATACAAGCTGAAGATTCGGCATCAGTACCACTCTACTCGATCGTGCATGTCTTCGTTCGTGTACTGGATAAGAATGATCATCTACCGTTACCATCAAAGCCAATTTATTTCGCGGAAGTTCTTGAAAATTCACCTGAGGACACAGTTGCTGTCAAGGTTTCTTTTCTTAGTTGCACAATTTCTGAGATATGAATTTCGTGATGAACTAGGGTGATACATTGGTTCAAATGTACATTAATCACATCGAATTGTTGTAACTGAATAGAATTTATCCCATCAACAATTGTTTCGGTAACTAGTGAGTCCTGGAACCATTTGCAAACAATTCCTTAGAAATAAACGAATGAGACCACTTTGAGGAATCGAGTTTGTTTGTAAAGTTTTTCTCAAGTTTTCTGGCCCAACGTTTAATTTGTTGATACGAAATTTCGTTTGATTTCTGGTCACGAGAACAGATTTACAAGTTGCAAACAGTGTACCATTCTCTTGCGAGAGTTTTCTTCTTTCGATCAAATTAACATTTGGCGTTTGAAGGTTGAAGCCATGGATAAGGACGATCTTCCATCAACTTCTGGAGAGGACAGCAAGTTACAGTTCAGGATAGCGAGTGGCGATCCACAGAGTTTCTTCAGTATTGATCCTAAAACAGGTGCGTTTGAGATCATTGGATAGGTTCAACAATGGTCTCATGGATTCACTTCGTTAATTTTTTTTCTGATTATTAAGTCGCCTTTATTTCGTCATCCAAATTTGGTGTGTTTATTTGTCTCAATATTCGCTTTTGAATGCGAGCATACACTTCTCTCCAAAAAGATATCAGTTATATCATTGATTGTGTCATTTGTTCGTTGAATGACGAGAATGTTGTTTAGGATATATGACAACTCGAGGTCGACGACGACTGGACCGTGAAACTCAGCGAGAGCATCAAGTGCAGATCGAGATTTGTGATCAGGGCACTCCTCCGCTGTGTGCTACTGTTCCGGTCATCGTAACGGTTCGTGATGTGAACGACAATCCGCCAGTATTTCGACAACAAATCTACAACTTTAATATACCTGCTCAGAAGACTGGGAACTTGTGTCGGTACGTTTTTATTCCTCTGATTTCCATAGAGAACGGTTCATACAGTTACAAGAGGTGACATTTTTTTGTAGCATTGATGACTCAGCGTGTTCCAAATTTGCTAGGTTCTCATTGAAATTTAGACAGTCCAAATGACTATTGCCGAATAACCTTACCATTCAGTAGTCACTTTTGCGATGCGGCATAGTCAAAGGCTCGT